TGTCCAAGTGCACCGTCAGCTGGAGGGAGGGCCCCGACCCATCACCACGCCCGTGGGTGACCCAAGTGCTGGAGGAGCTTCAGCGATGGCTCCAACCTCATCTCCCACCAGAGGATCCATCATAGTGGGAGACCCCGTAGACATCCCAGACTGTGGAAGGGCTTCACCACGAGCTCAAAGCTCATCAAACCCCAGTAGACCCACACAGAGGAGGCTCCCTACAAGTTCTCCGTGTGTAGGAAGAGCTACGAGGAGCTGACGTCCCACCAGAACCACCACGTGGAGTAGAAGGTGGTGGCAAACTGTCCCGGTGTAGGTGGGCAGCCACGGCGGGCTGCGACTTTTGGGGTCTCCAGCCTCATACCTCATGCTCGGGTTGCAACGGGCCGTCAAGTTCTGCCCTCAACTTCCTCTCTTTCAACCTCCTGTGATCCTCCACCAATTAAAATCCACCTTGGATAACCCAGAGACGTCATTAACAACGCTTGATGTTAATTGGGGTGGAAAACGAAGCTTTTCCGAGCAGGATAAACCCAACATCTGGCTTTTTTTTAAGCTGAGAGGTGGGTCCCATGTGACGTCCAGAAGCTACGTCCCCCTTCCCCAGACTGGACCAGCTCTTGAAACCAACTGGGAGGACTTTTCTTCTCCTTCACCTCCATCTTGGGTTGCTGGAAACGCGTTAACGGGTTGAATTAGTCAGATTTGCGTTTAGATTCCAGCCTCTGGAAGATATTTTTCAGAGAGGGAACATTATTTAACGTGGGTGAAATCAAGTCCCTGCTCCCATCTTGTGGTCCGCGGTTGGAGATCCGACTTAGGACCGAGAAATCTATATTTTTGGCGACATCTAAATTAGTTTCTCTGTTATCTCTCTAACTCCGGTTGAGCCCTGTCCTCCGGCAGAAGGTCCTCACCCAGGGACGACCCAAAATCCACATTTCTCAAAGGCCACAGCGGCCCAAGAACGAGGTCAAATGGCAGCGGCTCCTTCCTTCGAAAAAAAAAAAAAAAAACAAAACCCACAAAGGAACATTAATTCCGCGGGATTTTATCAACTCCGGTCCTTTTTGTTGTTTCTTTTTTAATTGTTTATTTTAACTCTCGGGGTCGTGAGAATGGGCAAATGCAGTTATTTACAGAAAATGCTATCGCCTGACTTTGTGTCTAGCTCCTTTTTTTTTTTTTAATTATTATTTATTTTGTGTAATTAAACCTTGAGGCTCCTCTTCAAGGATGAGGGTAGCAGAGAGGGGCTGGGAGCAGGGGTTCGCCTGGTAGCACCGGGGCGGCTCTATCGCAGTTCCCCCCAGCATCCCCCAGTAGCACTGGGGGGCTCCATCCGGCCTTTGCCTCACTTCTCCTCTTCTTTTCCCCCTCCCGGGTTCACCCCCGGAGGGTGGGAGCAGCCAAGAGCCCAACCTTGCCCCATCCCGACCTGCCCCAGCTCCATCCCCGGCCCTCCCGGGGTGTTGTCCCACAAGCGGGGTCGTTCGCCCCCCGTGCCAGACGCCAACACCCCCCCGAGCAGAGGGATTTATTTCTGCCGAGTCAGCACAGAGCGGGGGGCTGGAGGTAATTCCCCCCGGGCAGCGCCCCGCCCCAAAGAGCCCCCCTGGATTTCTGCCCTTGGGAGCACACGCAGACACCGGGGCGGGAGTGACCGGGGGGTTTCTTATCGCCCTGTCCCTCACTGGTTCCCAACGCGCCTCGTGGCGATGCCAACACACAGGGTCTTGTCATTGCTGGGGCCCAGCTCCGAGGGGGGGACGCGGCTTCTTGGTCTTCGGCTGAGTCGATGGTCGAGGTCTCCACACTTAGGGCCAATTTTCACTGGCTTCTGGCTTTTCCGACACTCCTCAGGCTCCTCCTCCATCCCTCCTCCACCTTCATCCCTCCTCTTCCTGCTCTTGCTCCTCCTCCTGCTCTATTCCTTCACCTCCTCCTCCTCCTTCATCCCTCTGCCTTCTGCTGGTGCTCCTCCATCCCTCCACCTCCACCATCCTTACACCTTGCCCATCCCTCCTCCTTCTTCACACCTCTGGACCAGCTCCCGCACGTGGTCCCAATTTTCACCCCGCAAAGCTCCCCTCACCCCCCAGGAGGGCTGGGGATGGAGCTGGGGCAGGTCGGGATGGGGCAGGGTTGGGCTCTTGGCTGCTCCCACCCTCTGCGGGTGAACCCGGGAGGGGGAAAATAAGAGGAAAAGAGAGAAAATCGGGGGGGGGAAGGTAAAAAGAGTTTAATGAAAGAAAGAAAAAGGAGGATGAGGAAGAGGACAGGAGAAAAAGTGAGGCGAAGGCCATCACTGACCCACATCTGGCCAATCCTCATGCCCAAGCCCCCTCCTCTCCATTTAATGGCTGAGCACGATGCGATAGGGCCAGGAATAGCTCTGGGGTCGGGTCCCCTCAGCCACCTGCTGGCGTCCCCCCTCCCCATCTCTTGTGCACCCCCAAATCTCTTCTGTCTGCAACAAACAGGACACAAATCTGAAACCCAGTGGGAGCAAAATCCAATTTATTTGACACAAACTTCAGAAAAAAAACGTGTTTCTTTGATTTGCTCTAGGGGACAGACTCACCCCCTGGGTCTGTGTGTATCCATCTCCGTCTGTGTGCACCTACCTAAGGACAGGAGCATCCCATACGCTCCAGTTTGACTGCAGGGTCCTGCATGGAGTTTTGCTTCTGCCAAGACTTTTTGCCATGGTTTCCTGAACTGCCCGCGGGCACCTCCTCCAAGGGGGCCTCTGATGGACAAGACACCCAGTGCCCACGCTGAGGGACTGCCCGCAGAACAGGCACGGGTGGGAGCTCTCCTGTGCGGGGAGACAGTCGTGCGTGGCGAGGTGGGAGCTGCTCAGGAAGGGGGAAGCTCTCCCCACACTCCAGGCACTTGTACGGTCTCTCTCCCTTCTGGGCCCTGCGCTGGGAGATGAGGCTGGAGAAGTCCTTGCAGGTCTTCCCGCCGTCTGGGCACGTGTGGGGTCGTTCTCCCGGGGGATTTCTTTGGTGACGTCTCATGCTGTTCCTCCCGCGGAAGATCTTCCCACCCTGGGGGCATTTAGAGGTCCCCCGCGTGGCGCGGGCCACCGGCTTGCTGGTGGCTGGGTGGGTGTTCTTCCCGCCA